AAAATGCTTTTACAAAGGAAACAAACTATTACACGAATATTTGCTGAGAAGTTTGGGGGATTCAGAAACAGGCAGAGTTGGTGGGGAAGAGGAGGAAGGCAAAGAAGAGCAAGCTGCTGAGTGCTGGAGCACAGTTTGTGTGGGCTTCTCAGCCTGTGAGATACTCTTTACACGTTCCACAGAGGCCAAAAATTGTAGTCAGTAGAGAAATAAGACTATCCAGTGGGATCTCTTGCTTTCCACACAGCTGTGCTCGGAAGACCTGGAGCTTCCAAAAGGCATGATGTGAAGCTTTGATAAGTGTGTCCACATCACCTCAGCTGTGTTCTCTTTGAGAAGTGTGCCCAAATCCAACATGCTGCCCTTGTTACATCAAGCACAGAGGAGGCTCCGTTGCTCTACAGCCAAACACAGGGGGTTTGCTACAGGGGAACCAACGCTTCTGCTACTTTTGAGATCTTCTTTCAGTATCAAGCTCATGATGCTGCACCGCTCTCTATTTACACTGTTTTCAGCTCCATGAGGGGATAGTAAAGGTCATGTAGGTTGTGTAATTCTTTGTAGCTTTCAGAAGCGTGGCTTTGAAATATCCTGATTTTTTATTCCTTAATTTTCAAGATCTTGAATTTTGCTGAACTCAGTGATAACAGAGCATGAAATACACCATCTCTTGCACTAATTATTTTTTTAAATAAAATTGGAATTAGGCAGGTGGCCAGACTTTCAGAAGCAGTGAGCACTTGCACATCCCACTTATTTCAGCTGAAAGTTGTGGATATGTCACTGTTATTTAACTTTAAGGTGGGAGGAGACATATGTATTTTCTGTCTTCCCCCTTCTCTACAAAGGCAGTGAAGCAAATCTGCTCAGTGAGTGCAGCATAAAATAAATATTCCCACAAGGGGAGTAGCTGAATGTTTCAGCCTTCAATTTGCTGTGAAATCAGGTGCTGTTGAGATGAGTCTGTCTGTCTTTGATTGAAATATCTTAATTAAGAGAGGCCTAAGGGATAATTAAAGTTGTATCTGACACCCATTGCTGCCAATCCTATTAAAGAAAGGGAACAGTCCCTTTATTCCTCCTATATTTTCTGTTCTGCAGCTTTGATTAAGCTGAAGAAGAATGGTCAACGTTGTGCCACCAAGTCCCAGTTTGTTCAGCCCATCTGCTTGCCGGAAAGTAACACTGTTTTTCCTGACCAGTTCAAATGTCAGGCCTCTGGATGGGGACACAAGCATGAGAGTGAGTAAAATGAGAGTTAGTGTCTGTATAAAAAACTGATGATAATTAAAACATAATGCTCAAGTGTATGTTATACAACTGACGGGTAAAATATTTTCCAGGGGACTTCTGGTGGGATTCTTTTTACCTACCCTAAGGTATTTACCATGCTTACATCTGAAAAAGTCATCCTGAACTTCCTTTATCATCCTTGGAATTTAGAGTGTGGTTCCCTTGACCAAATGTTTGTGTCTATTTTAGGATGAGATGAGCTACGAGCTAGCTAGATCGTGGACTGGGAGGTGAGCAAGTAGCTCAGTTGTAGGTGCCAGCAACTTGACGCCTTAGTTGAGTGAATCCTACCCCTGGTTTCTCAAAGTAGATAGCAAAGACTGCACACCAAACATAACCAACTTACTGGTCTGTGATGGAGGAGATCTTTACCTTCACCAGCGAGAAACTTCAGAAACATCTACAGGAGAGGGACAGATAGACTTTGGGCTAAGTGCTTACATTCAGCTTTAGAAACCCATCTTATCCTTTCAGATGAAGAATTTCAGGATTATGAGGCTTGGCCATTCTGCTTTGATGTGGAGATAGCAGAGATGTATGTAGGTAGATGAGCTGGCTGTCTCATTTTGGTAGGAGATTTAGTATAAGCAAATGTTGTCCTGGTGTAAGTGTGTAGTCTAAAGGCAAAAAGAAGTAATGGAGCCTTTGACAAATTGATGATTTGGTATCACATCCGGAAAGAGGAGAGGACAGGAATTGTGAAGGACTGTACCTGCATCTCTAGGAAATGAGAGCACCCGAAGTGGATTAATGTCTGGACACAGCATCTGACTGGAGGAGCAGAAAGTGATCCTATCACTAGAAAAATTATCTTTTAAAGAGAATGCACAACATGAATATGACTGAGAGGTGTTAAGTGTGTTTATGTTGTATTGTGCATTGCGTTTTCATGTTTCATTCTTCACATTCTATAAAAATAACTTTCTTTTCCTCTCTGGGAATTTTTTAAAGATGTATCTGCTTATTCACACGTCCTGCAAGAAACACTGATTCCGATTATTCCTGAGGAGAAGTGCAGAAGCCCTGAAATTTATGGAACAGAAATCACTGAAAATATGTTCTGCGCTGGCTACTTTGATAGCAAATCTGATGCTTGTCAGGTAATGTGAGTCATCTCTAGGCAGAGAATATAAATGTATATTATTGCCAGAAATGTTGCACTGCTACAGTGCTTACTTTTGACATTACATTTTTCCTAAAGAAAAGAAATGTTCCTAAAGAAAAGAAGCTTATGTGACTGCACTGTTTGCTTCCACCTTCATTTTTTTTACCTATTCAATGTCAATTAAGTTCTACAGAAGGGAAAAAAAACGGTGTTATATTCCTCCTACCTTCATAAAAGGCAGTGGCTATGCACTGGAGGGTGAGCTGCTTTAGCTCCTGGCCCAGCTTGCAGTGTGATGGCAACAGTTCGCTGGCCAGCTGGCCGGGATGCGCTGGCAGGCCAACCAGCATGTACCTGTGCAGAGCCAAATCCCCGAGTGGCTGCCTCTTGCCTGGATGGAGATAAGTATACCTGGGTAGGAGGTGGGGAACAGTGACGAGGTTTGGAGGAGGAGGGAGCTGAGATTACTACAGTGGATGGGGTATAATGGTGAAGGATACCAGTCAATTGGAAATTGTGTTTCACGATTTCAGTCCTTCATGGAATGACCTCGTGCTTTTACTACTTAGAATCTCTTTTTGAATTCTGTCACACCTTGGCTCTGAATAAGGATGCAGCATTGTTGTGGTGATGGATAAGACTATTTTTAAAATGAAGGATCAGATTATTCCTTAAGCAAACCTTCATTTTGAAGGAGGAGGGTTATGCTCTATTAGCATAAATTTGGGAACAGGCAGCACATAACTACTAACTGGCAGCAAGATTAAGTAAAGCAACGAATATCGTGTATACTGTGTGCTGGAACCCCTATAAAGATCATAAAAACGTCCAAAGGAAGGTGTCAAGAGTGAAATGGCAGCAACCAGCAGTGGCTCGAGATTTCCAGGACAAGGCCGAGAACTGATTGTAGTTATTGGCTGCAAGTGTTTGTTCTAGAGAACTAGAAACTACCTTGCTTGCTCAGTTTTCCTTGCCTTACCGAGGAAGTACAAATAGAAGATGCAGCATTATAGCTGGTTCTCGCTCCCTGCCCTGGAAAAACAGAGCTGATCAGGAATAAGAGGGAGAAAGAAGAAAGCAGAGGGAAGGAGAGAGGAGCTGCACAAAGACCAATGGTCTGGAGAGAGTTGCAAAGTCTGAGCAACAGTGATTTAGGGTCACAGATGTTGCTGGAGAACAGTGCTTGTGGAATGAAATCATCATTAGCAAATCAACAATTTGTTTTTTTCCTGTTGGCAGACTTGTAGTGCGGTCTAAGGAGAAATGGTGTAGACCACTTAATGTCACAACAAATGTAGCTGACCTCTGAGTTTTCTTAATGTATGCTTAGGAAATTAAACTATAAACCATCTGTTATGCATTAAAATATTTCAAGATCAAGAAATACCAAGCAGATAATGTGTTTTGCTTGATTATCTTTTGAAGATTTTCTTGGAGAATTTTTTTTTTAAAAAAAAAATCAGTGCATTGATACCAAAATTGCAATTGGTGAGATAAGTTATGGAGAAATAAGCAAGGTTCTGAGAAGTAAATTGATCTCAGATGCAAGACTTCATTTGATGTCTCTTATTTGTCACAGAAATCTCCTAGTACAAAGGCAACACAATTTTCCTACCTACTTTGCTCTGAAGGGATTTTCTTTTCAAATAGAAAAATAAATATTTCTCCTTAGTCCCAAATAACTATAGTGGTGGCTCCTTTCACCAGTACTGTTTAATAAGTCACATTTTTCTTCTAATTTCTAACATTTTATTTTTTGTAGAAAGTCAGTCTAAGAGTAATAATAATAAAAACCCCTTTCCTGAAGGCTTGCAAGCTTTTAAATAAGTAGAAGTGTTCCAAATTCATCCTTGCTGTAGTATGTCATCAAACATTATGTTGGTCTTATTTTCGGTTTATGGATTTAAAGTAAACACTCAGTAGCATCAAATTCAACAGATGCAAAAACCCCATATGCCCCATAAAATTGTAGCATCCCACAGTCAAATGGAAAAGTGTGCGTATGCAATACTTTTCTTTGAAAACATTCATGATCTCTGACAGTTGCAACAAATTGCACTGAGAAACTCCAAATATTCTCTGCCTTATGCAATCTGTCCATGCAGTGCCCATATTACAACACAATGTAAGCCTCAAAAACTTGCTTACTCCCAATGAAAGTGACCCAAATCAACTGTGCTTTTCAGTGGGTGTCTGAATCTAAAAGAATTTCAGATTTTTAAACAAAATCTGATATTTTGATACTTCTGCTCAATGTGGAGTTAAAAAATCCCACCCTTATATTAGAGGTGAATATGACTAAAAAATCTTTCTATAATGAAACTTGACTCGACCATTCCTTCCATATTATTTTTTTTTTAGTTTAAATCTCACACGCAAACATTCTTAATTTAGGACTTTCCCAAACTGGTCTTTTTTCTGACTGCTTTCTATCAAATTAGATAATCTTTGCTTACTTTTAACCCAGGGAGATTCTGGTGGACCTCTGGCCTGTGAGAAAAATGAAATCTCTTACCTCTATGGAATTATCAGCTGGGGAGACGGCTGTGGCAGAGTCAACAAACCTGGAGTATATACACGAGTGACGAACTATGTGAACTGGATTAATGAGAAAATAGCCCCCCGAAAAACTAGTTGAAGAGTTAAGTATGCTAATATTTGAAGCAGGGTTCAGGAGTCTCTTGGTTTCATTAAAGTGGCATAAATATTTTATTATAAGCTAGTATGAAAACTCTTGTGGTAATTGTTAGCAATTCCAAACCAGACCACCAAAAGTAGGCCTACTTCATCTGATGTCAGCATCCTTGATCTAGAACTTTAAGGCTGTGGATTACTCAATATGTGAGACTGTCTTTATTTGGCTTAATGACACAAACACATCCAGACAGTGCACCAAAATCTACACCTATCTGTCTACTTGGTGGACTACATAAAAAGGGATTTGAATGTGTTTGTGCAGTTTCTGATGGAGGTGTCATCCCCCAAACGAACCTGTAACAACATTGTCCTTGTATTCTCAGATGAGAGAAAAAGATACAGAGGAGGAGCACCAAAAATGAAATTCCTTTCCCCTCAGAAGTGATCTCTTCAAGGTCAGGTTGAGAGACACCAACAGAGCAACATAGGTGAAGCTGTTCCTCAGCTAACTGCAACAAACCAGGTCTTGGGGAAAAAAACCAGAGGGGTTAGGTTCTTGTTCAACCAAACATGTAAGCATATTTTTATGCTCCACTCACATAAAATCAGGAACATGCTTCAGACCTCTGCTGAATCTGGCATGCAATTTTCCAGCAAGGTTAATGCCACACCTCCTGAGAGCACAAAGTTTCTTGCTGAAAAATGTTGGAAGTCAGAGCACCTGATTTCAGGCCAATGCAGTTAGGACCTTTTGCAGACTGTGACCTGCTCCTCACCCTGAGGATAGCAGTGGAAATACTTCACCTTGATGATGAATGCCTAAACATTTCTTAAATTTGACAATGTTTTGAAGATGCCTTAGGTTTTGTACTAACAAGTTGTTCAACTGTTTAGATAATTCAGAAAGGAGGTTTCTCTAATGGATTTTTAAACTGGATGGCTGAGGGAGCAGCTTGACATTTTCCTTGGGGATTTGGTGATATCATAAACCACAGGCTTTGCTGTCATGGTCTGTGGAATTGTTATGGGAACAATCAACGAAATTATTACAATATATAGGTGTTTAGAGGTAGTGGACAGCTGTGTTAGCAAAAAAGGCAGAAAATGATTCAACAAAACAATCTGTCTGTTAAATAAGAATGGAAAATTATAACTATTATTTTTTTTTCAATTACAGGGAACCTTTAGCCATGTCATATGTACATTTGGAAGTGTTGATGTGAAATGTGTTTCTTCTCTGATAGTGATAATTTTTGAATTCTCTTAAGTGTTTCAAGCAAAGCTGTGCTTTAAGACAGAGAATTTTAAAGTGGTACCTAGATACTCAGGTATGTGTTTTGTTTTACAGTACCGTCAGTGTCTTCACAGGTTTCTTAGTTGTGGTGAGTGATTTCTGCAGTTAAAAGAAACTTTGTAAGGAAAAATAACCAAAACCTGAATTTGTGTAAGTACAAATATATAACAAAGCTAATCTAGATAAATTATGTAAATTGTTTAATAAAAATGTTTACCCTCTGTTTCTTGGACTTAGTCTGTTACGTATACAGTTACAATTAAATCTTCGAATCCCTCTGTAGGTTGTTCAACAGGTTGACAGCTGGTAGAAGAATGAAATAACATTTCTCTGTGCCAGAAGGCATCTGAAAAGCTCTACCTAAGGATCAATTTCAGCTGATGGTGCTCCCAGTTTTATGCAAATGTTACACGAATTTCTAGTAGACAGATGTAAGAGCTTAGATATGATTTTCAGCTAAAATACTGTGAATACTAAGATCAAAGTCTTTAGTTTGTTTTTCTGAAGCACTAAACACTAGCTTCAAAAATTGAGATCCTCCTCTGGGTTCTTCATTCCCAAACTAGCTGAAGACTCTTGTTGTCTGGCTTTGCCTTCCTGGTCATCTGCGGAACGAGTCTGGTTTGCTTAAGTCCATGAAATGAATGTGACTGTGTAACAAGACTGACTGTACCTGCTGCTGAAAGACAAGCACAAAACCAATGTCAATGAAGTGTTTACTCTTCTTTGGAAGGGATTTGTTTGAAACTGGTTTCCACACAAAGCTTATGCAATTCTAAACGTCCACATCTTTTCTGTGATTTCAGTTTCAGTTTGAAATTAATGTCCATCCACACTGTGCATGCTTTTAATCTGGTAGTTTTGTGTTATAGACATTCTCTCAGTCTTCTCTGGCTGTAAAGAACACGGCTGTTTGACAGGAAGGGTGTTAGACTGGTGTTTCTGATGATTTGTGTAGAGCTTTTTAGCTGTCCTGTTTTCAAAGTCTATGCTGCTTATATCAGTATATAACAACACCAACGGAATTGATAAAACTTTTTTTTCTAGATATATTGAATGTTCACAAGTGAAACAGTCTGTTTTCTGCCCTCAAAGGTCTAAATGACAAACCTTCAGTCGATGTTGTCATACCTTGAATGCATTAAAATTAATTTGTGGCTTTCAAAGCAGCCTGTTTGTCCACTGTAACTACATTGATTTGATGGAACTAAATTTCATCACAGTAGTGTCTGCTGTATGGTGACTAGCACTGTATTAAATCCACAAACCCAGACTAGGGATGGCAAGGAAATGTCCTGGTTAAGTGAGAGGCCCTCGCCTGACCTCTCACACCCCTGACATTGGTGACATTCCTATGGGGCACTCCAGCACCCTCTTCTTCCTGCCTTTTTGTTGAGCATTACCTCATGGAAACTCATCCTCCCTATTTTTCTCCTCCCTTTAGGTGCTTATTGCTTTGGTTAAAATGAAAATCTAGCTTAAATTTCCTAATGACATTTTACCTGATACTTTTCCTAACATTTATATTGAAATTGAATTAGAATGCAAAGCCAGTTGAACAAACACGTCCCTAATTCATTATGAAACACACTTAAAGACGGTTTTATTAAATTATATGTTATTCCATGCAAACTGACCAATTCAAAGGGAAGAAATAAATGCAAACATCTAAAACCCCCTTCTATTATGCTATTGAAGGGAAAATGTGCTGTGGTGCTGTTTTAAACAAGCTGAGGGACTAATTACCATCAAATAAGATGCAGAAGGAATATTTTTAGAATAATGGACTCTAATTAGTCCATTGCTCTTTGAAATAAATCTGAGGACATCATTAACACATCTTATTCCATTAATTGTAGCTGCTCTGGGTTTGGTGCAAGTGGGTTGGTATCTTGTGACAGTTGCATTGCACAGAGGGGGAAAAAAAAA